TATGGATATATGGTATTTGGTCCCTATTATAAAGTCTACCGGAGACCTTATTTCTTGGTGTTCCTTTAGAGGTTCCAAGCTTCCAATGAGAGAAATCTTGAAAGCTAAGACCTTGGTAAAAGGAGGTCTTGAAGACAGCTTATATTGTGTTGGGAGAGAAGAAACAAAGGGGTAGTTATGTTTTGTTATGGTTTGGATCTTTGGGGCTCGGGCAGAGAGGGCTGTTCATGTAGACTTCCTACTTAATACTACCTCAAAGCAAAGCACGTCAAACGCGAACATATAACTACTGTATCATCTAGGAATAGGGGTGTCAACAAGGCGAACTGAGCCAAGCTTGGGCATGTTCCAGCTTGGGTTGCATGGGTTGAAGGCCAGCTGGAGCCTGGTTTGAGCTTTGTATGACCTTGAATCACCCGGGTTGGGCATGGCATGAATAGAGGAAAGATATGCCTGAGCTTGACTTGGCTTCACTTGTTTACTTGAGCAAGTCCATAAATGTGTCAAAGTCCAGCAAGCCAAGCACAAGGACATAAACTAGGTAATATATAATAATATGTGATTAAATATATGTAATATAAACAAGCTCCAGGCGAGCTTGTCTCAGCTTGAGCTTTAGTAGGCATGGCTTGGCTTGGCTTGGCTTGTCGAGCGAAAAAGTTTTGAGCAAGCTTGGCTCATTGTAAGATGTCAATCTGGCTAACGATATAGCTTAGCTAGTTGACTCACCAATTTCAGAATAAATATTTGACAAATATTGATAAGGCTTGTGGGCTTGACCATAGGTCAAGATGTTCCATCATAATGTAGGCTATATTGGTTATAGCACTTTGCATTTAACCTCACCTTATCCTGTGAGTGCTGCTATTGCTGTTAGTTTTGTGTTATGTACCTGCAAGGGCGATATCCTTCTTCACATTTGGTAGTAATATGTGAAAGAACCGAATATGATTGTGGTGTGCATAGGGCTCTTCTTATTTGTCCATTACCATTGTGTATGAAAGTTGGTAGCAATTTTGTCATATGATGGTATAGTTTAGTTAGATATGAGTGTACCATAGTGGTAGAGGTCACTGCATGATTGCTGGGATTGCCGGTCCGTGCTAGCTGCCTCCTGCAAGATCGCCATGCACTCCTGAGAGAGGATTGCGGTTGGGTTGCCTTTTCTGAAAAGGGGAACGCGCTCTCATAGGTCATGCAAATGTCATCATAACTATTTCACCCTTAGTTATGGAAAAAAAATCTGTGCCCTGTATGGAGTACATATGAGGGTACTTTTACTACCTTAGGTAATACTCTCATAATGTGAAGGCAGAATATTAGACAATGCTGTCTTGCAACTGCTCATGCATGTAAAGAATGACTTGTTTTTGCATTTAATTGTGGCAAGTAACCTATGCCTTAAATGCTTTGTGACAATCGTCATTATTGTGGCATTATTGTTGACAAAATCTACCAGGATATTATCACCTGGGTCTTTTTGTAGGATATTTATTGGATTTTATCAGGCACTCAATATGTTGAAATAAATATGTTATTTCTTATGTACATCCCCTATTATCTAGGGAAGTTCTTTAAAATCTGTCCCTAATTTAGATATTCAAATGAGGGTTTGGGCAAGTTCAAGCTCTAGATGATAGATTTTCAAGCTACTACTTTTTAAAAATGACAAAGTGATAAGGGTTGAACACACAGGAAACGGATACATTACAAATTAAAAAAGGCTATCTTTTAGTTATGTTTTTTTGACATTATACTATTATCATATAATGTTTTTATTGGAAATAATATCAGGTGGGTCCATATTACCATGCTAAATTCATTTTATCTTGATAAATTGAAGAGAGTATTGACCCTTCTTCTATGATAAAATCAGCATAAAATTATCAGTGAAAATTGTCACTATGCTTAAATGGAATCCAAATGATGGTTCGTTAGGTGATTTTAAAGTAGCATAAGAGTAAAAAATAGCAATCATCATAGTGCACTTCTAGGAATCAACCGTGCTGTCCTACAACTATTCAGGCATTGCTGAAGTGATCTCAGAATTGCCCATGCATTAATGATTGTAGTCAAATACATGGCCTGGATTTTGTATACCTATAGATTTTATGGATGACATAATTAATATGTTGTCCTGAATTAATGTTCTTTGAAATATATTGGGGACTACAAAGTTGGAAAAAAGGATTGTTCATGGGGTACCTTGGACAATTTAAATTAAATAATAAAAAAAGGAAATCTTAGATTATGTGATGCATGTCATGGTTTTGTGCACCCAAGGATTTCATGTATGATAATTACTATTCTGTCCTTATTTAAAAGTCTTCAATAATTTCATGTATAATAATTTAATGTATGATAATTAAATAAGAGCTCTTAGATAGTTATTTTGATTTGCA